CCAAGGCCAACCCAGCCGGATGGCTGGGCCTGGAATAAGATGGACAGAAAGAGGGTGAAGGCTGAATCAGCGTTGTTATGCAAGATCATGGGGCTCGCGGATCCGGGACCGGACGGACTACCGACCAGAACCCGGACAGTCGAGGGTCTTGACAAAGCTCTCGACAGCCTGGTCGAGTGGCTCACCTGGGTCGCGGGGGAAAGCACTCCACGGTCGCGGGGGAAAGCACTCCACGAAAGAAGGCGAGCTGCGGCTACAGCTCTCCCTGGTGGACTGTGGAGGTGCAGCAGGCCGCCCGGGAGGCCAGGAGGGCCGAGAGGCTGACGAAGGAGACTCGGGCAGAGTACTGCTGGGAGGAGCTTAGCGAAAGGCTCAAGGACCTTGCTAGAACAACCCGCGAAGCACGGACGAGGGCTTGGAGGAACAGCCTACAGGAAGCAAGCGAGGCAAAGAAGCCCGATCAGATGTGGAGCTTGGAAAGATGGGCAAGGCTGCGGAGCTTTTTGCCGCCAGAACCACCGAGGCTTCCGGAATTTAAGGACTCTTCCGGACAGGTAACGGCCGAAACGCACGACCGGAAGGCCAGCGCGCTGGCCGAGAGGTTCTTCCCGGACCCACCGGCCAACCCGACGGACGTGGAAGACCAAGCCTTTTTGGGCAGCTGGAACCCGGGCTTCGACGTCGTACAGGCAGTGACGCCGACCGAGATCACGGAAGCGATAGGAAGAGCAAGCCCCTGGAAGGCGCCAGGCGAGGATTTGCTCCCGATGGGCCTTCTGAAGGCGTGCGGAGCACCGTTAGCTGAAGTGCTGGCCCTTCTGGCGACAAGGTGCCTGGAGCTAGGATGGTTCCCGAACCGTTTCAAGAGGGCGAAGACTGTAGTACTACCGAAACCAGTAAAGGCTCCGCCGGCGTATCAGACCCCGGGGGGATACAGGCCCATTGCTCTGCTGCCAACCCTGGGGAAGGTAATAGAGTCAGTGGTCGCCAGGAAGGTCACTCAAGCTGCAGAAGTCAACGGCCTCCTACCAGATGAACAAATGGGGAACAGGGCACACCGCTCCACAGAGCTGGCTGTCCGGCGAGTAGGTAGCCTTGGTCCAGGAGGCGTGGAGACAGAAGGGTGCGGCATCCCTATTGCAACTGGACATCTCAGGAGCCTTTGACACGGTCAACCATACCTGACTGCTAGCAACTTTGCGAGAAATGGGCTTCCCGAGGTGGCTGGTCCTCTGGACGAGAGATTGGTTGACCGGTCGAGAGGCCGCCCTTCTTTTCGACGGCAAGACGGCGGCACCGACGGCAATTCGGGCAGGGGTCCCCCAAGGCTCACCCCCTTTTCGCCTGTTCTCTTCATCCTGTACATTTCCTCATTATACAAGCAGCTAAAAGACGAGCACCCTCACTTGGCTATAACAGGGTTTGCGGATGACACCAACCCTCCTGGTATTTGGTCGAAACCCCGAGGCCAATGTCCGGCAACTAGAGGGCGGCGTGGGAAACGTGTATGCGATGGGCGGACAGCCGGGGGATGAAGTTCGCCCCGGAAAAGAGCGAACTCATCCATTTCAACAAAGGGCGACAGTGAACCGGACGGGTAAACCTTGTCAACCCAAGGGGGGGCAACTACGCCCCGTTAAACCAGAAGGGTCTGCCAGATTCCTGGGAGTCTGGTTGGACTGGAAACTCAACTGGAAGGCTCACCTGGTGGCAGTGGAGAAGAAGCTGAGGACCCAGAGCTATGCCCTGTCGAGCATCGTGGCAAAGACATGGGGAATGGGGCTAGCCAAAGCGCGAGGAGTGTACACAAAGTGCATCCGGTCGGCGCTGGCCTATGGCGCATCATCGTTTCACATCCCCACGGATGTGGGAGGCGAGCCGATAAAGAAAGGCATCACCAAGGCCCTCGGGAAGGCCCAGAAACAAGAGCTTGCGGATCGTGGCGGGAGCCTTTAAGTCTACCCCAATCCGTAACCTCGAGACAGAGACGTGGGTACCACCATTGGACTTGTACCTAAACAAACGGCTTGCAGATTTCGAAAACCGACTCCAACAACCCGATCTGGACGACGATCAAGGCGGCAAGAAGACGGCGGGGAGCGTTGTCCTCGCCGCCTGCCGCAAGATACAGCAGGAGACTTAGCTCGAGGAGGGGCAACAGGGGCCGACTGCGAACCTTGGGACCTCAAGGGCCTACGGCGGTGGAGAGAGCCGCGGGCACGGTCATGCGCTGGACGGGGGGAATCGTTGATACGAACAGGGTAGTAGAATAGGCTTGGAGCGAGGTGGTTAAAGGAACGGGACGGCAGGGCAATCACCAGGCCGGCGGACGACTTTGACCATCAGCAGGAGACGCTATTCCGGAACGAAACCCTAAGGAGGCACGACGGTCTCAGCAAGGCGAAGAGCTCACTGCTGATTCGAATCCGGACGGGAGCAATAGGCTTACGGGACTTCTTGTTTACAACGGGGAGTCCCGGAGGATTCTGACTCCTGCCTGCGAGTGTGGCGAGGGACGAGAGACTGCCAAACACCTGGTAGTGGTGGTGTTTGGCCCCACCGTTGAAAACCAATGTTGGTTAGCAAAACCACAGAAAAGCCCAGGGAAATTGTTAGGCAAGTTTACCATGATATCGCAGCGCCTCTCCATATCCGAGAGCGTAGCCAAGGCGGCCGCCTCAGGCTCGGAGATGAAGCTTAGCGTGGTTTCGCCTGCGACGCGCGCTGAGAGCATGCCTGCCTGTTCGGCGGCTTCCCTCATCCGGTTGCGAGCGTAGTCAGGCCAAATGGCGGGGAGAGTTATGACGATGTGGAACTTGGAGTAGTTCACTAGGCTCCGGCTGGCCGTCTCGATGATTCGCTGGTTACAATGATTGCAGAGCAGGCGCAGGAATCCAGCGATGACGGCGACTGGCGTCTTGTTATGCTTCTTGAGATAAACTCGCGCCTCTTTGATCTTGGTCGACTTTCGGACATCTTCGGGCAGGTCCTTGTCGTCGATGAGTAGGAGCTTGAACCACTTCCCTTGCTCCGCACCGAAAGGGATATTGTATCCCCAGCTAACTTTACCCTTGGACCCGAAGGAAATGGCGGTCGGGGTTTTCTCTTCGTCGGAACTAGAGTGCAGTTCTGAATCCCAACTCGAAATGACTTGCATGCGCTTGATCTTCTTTGACCAGGTGAACGCGACCCCGGAGTACGTGGTGCCGAAATCGATCCCAACAATGATCGTATTGCCGGGCTGAGAACCCTGGGACGCCATTGCTGCGATTGATAACGAGCAAAGTACGAGAGCTTTAGATAGGTACGGGAAAAGAAAAAGAGAAAGAGAGGCGAAATTGGTGGCTCTCGATGATAGCAGCCTGATTAATCGCTGGGGGGGAACGGAGATGTCTTGTTCAGCCAGATGGAGAATCAAAAACAGAAGGAATTAAATGGTGGATTGCGGAATGGAGAAAAAAGTAGCAAGTTTGAAAGATCAGATAGGTAAGATAGGCGAGAAAACTTCCGCTGTGCGTGGCAGTGATGGGTAGGTACCGTAGGTAGGTACCTATCTTCCTCGAGACTGGATGAGAGGCAAGCAGTGTGGGCCAAAATCCAAAACCGACTTAATTCAATTTAATCCTAATAAGCCTCTACCTTGCCTCAAGAACATCAAAAATAGGTACATGGAGAAACCAACAGCTGGGTTTTGAAATAACCAGGTAGCGGCGAACAATTGGAAAAACTCACTCAGTTGCACAGGGAATCAGGTCCGATTCTACTGACGGCGTTAGATCATTAGCACGATTGTGTTGATCAATTAATCCCTTCATGTTGGGCTGATATGCCACTACCTGTGTATCCTCTCAGGGTAACTAATAACTAGCACCGACATGATCGAGGAAGTCAGCCCTTCTCTACAGGCACCTTGGTACCCAGTCTGCTGGATTTGCATGGCCACTAGGCAGGTAGCTACCCTTCAATGATTAAGTGGGTTTCTCGACTGTTAGGTACGCCATTGTTCGGACAGTCCAGCGTTTAAGGTTTGGAAAGGGGAGTGTTTACTTCTTGGCAATCAAGCGGAACCAGTCTGTCTAAGGCGGTGTTACATCACCAGGTGACCATCGATCAGGCACTTGATGATGGGCGCTGCACTGTACTACCTCCGAGACTCACCTCCGGACCTCCGGGTGGATAAGACAGAGATACCTAAGGTAGGTAACCAAGACATGGCCTGATCCTGACCGGGCAGGAAGCAAGGACAATTTCGAATAACGGGCTATATAAACAAAAACAAGCCTGTCACTTCTTTACCAACCCATATCCAACTTCAACTCAACAATTTTGGTTTTCTCATAACGTATACATCATGCGTATCTCCGCACTTCTCCTCACTTCCCTTCCCATCTGTCTCGGGGTAGCATCTCCCTCCCATACCCAGCCGGATGTGTACGAAGCCATTCATCAGAGGGAGTCAATTCTCGCCGAGACTCTCGACACCAAGGACTGGAGCCGTCTTGGCGAGTCAATGACGCAAGACGTCGTCTACGACAGCAGGCCTCTGGGACCGGACTACGGCGGCCTCTCTGTTGGTCTTCAGCAAGTCATCGAGAACACCAAAGCTGCATTTGGAGATGCCAAGGTTGCGCACCACGTCTCGAATGCCATCATCAGGCTAAACCATGACGCGTCCAAGGCCAACGTTACCACCTAGTGCGTAAAGTCCTCCGCAATAAACTTTTTTGATATGGAGCTAACAGTAACCAGTATCGTCTGGTCTCGCTGGGAGCCAAAGGCGCTTCACGATCCGAAGAAAACGTTCCGCATCTACGAGAGATGTGACGACAAGTTTGTGGTGGATGACGGGAAGTGGAAGTTGAAGTATAGCTTGGTCACAAACCTGGCCCCAAAGGTCGAGAATCCTTACTTCAACAAAGAGAAGTAAGCGTATTAGCGCTCTCGCATGTACATGTACCCACGCCGTTCCATGAGGTGCAGCTACTGCACATAGTCCGCAGCGGCACTGGACTTCAAGAAGCCGTGGTTGGGTTTGGGTTAATTATGTCGATTCTTCAAACGGCATAAAATATTGTCGATAAAAACTGGAAGGCTGTATTATTATTGATCCAGCAAAAGCGAGATTAGCAAGGGCTGCGAGGAAGGGATTGATGGGATAGGATTCCACCTAAACCCGGAATTAAATAATTATTTTTAAAGATCAAAACTTCCATGTTTGGCATTTTTTAAGATTGTGTCGCACGGCTGGGACTGAGTTCTGTTTTTGGCGGCCGGGAGGAAAAGGGGAGAAGGGTCAATGTTTACTTCTTGGCGGCTAAGCGGGACCAGTCCCTGAAAGCAACAACAGAGAGAGCCACACCACGTTCGAGACTAAAAACCCATCCAACAGCTCTCGGTCGAACACGCGTACCCTCTTCACCCCATATTCCCAAGAAACCTAACAATTGAAACCGGTTTTCCCGTATCGGCCGTCCTGGCCAACGCTCATCGCCCCCTTCTGGCCCCTGCCTATCCAAGTCCCCAATGCAGTTCACAAAGCCCTCGGTTATGTGAGGCCTATCGGCCTGTCACGGTCCCAACGTAGCACGGTTGGCCATCTAAAGCAGCAAGCTCCCACTCGGCGCGTCCCTCCTCCTCACCTCGAGCCGAACAGACGGATCACCAATTACGTAAAAGCCGTGCTGGAAGTTCTTGGGCTCGCAGCCCTCAGCCAGTCGAACGTCGTACTTGAGGAGGATGTGAGCCAGGGCGAGCTTCAACTCGTTACTTGCTAAGAAGCGACCGGGGCAGATGTGCCGGCCACCACCAAATACGTTGTACGTCGGGCTGGACTGCACGAACTGGCTGGCCTTGTCGCCTTCTTGGCGCTTGCGCAAGAACCGGCGGGCGTCGAATTGGTCTGGGTTGGGGTACACGGCGGGATTCCACAGGTCGGTGGAGTCGACCATGATGTGAGCGCCATGGGGTATCACTTTGCCGTCGGGGAGTGTTGTATCTTTGAGGGCCACGCGTTCGAGGACCACTAAGGGAGAAATGTTAGCATAGATACTTGCCAGGGAAGAAAAAGAAAGCAAAACACTATACCTGGCCCGCTGTTCAGTCGCTGCGTCTCTTTCATAAAGCTGTCCATTAGAACCATGCCCGACAAAGCAGCAGCCGATATCCCATGCTCTCCAATCTGCTCCTCCACCTCACTCCGCAACTCCCCAACCAGTTCCGGACGGCGCGCAATCTCAACCACCAACGCCCGAAACAACTCCGTCGTCGTAAACAGCGCCGCCATTGCCAACGAAAGCTGCACATCCCCGGCCGGCACCCGCCCACCCGACGCCTCCTGCGCCCACTCCAACGCATCCTCATACTCCCCCCCTCCCCTCCCCTCCCTCACCGCCGCCCTCTCCCGCAACACCGCATCCATCACCGCCCTTGCCCGCGCCACATACCGCCGGCACGCGGCCGCGTTGGGCAGGAACCAGTGCGCCACGGGCCGCATCCACCGCGGGTACCGGTGCAGGTCGGCGACGCCGGCGAAATACGCGCCCACGTACCCCTGCACCAGCGCCAGCCACTCGGCGTCGGCGGCTTTTTCGGGCCCCGCGAAGACGGAGGAGGCGGCGCGGGCGATCACGCCGAGCGTGGCGGTTTGCCAGTTGGGGAGGACGTGCCAGGAGGAGGAGGGGGAGGTGGAGGTGTTGTTGTCGTCGTCGGCGCTGTTGTTGTTGTTCCAGAGGGTAGGGAGGCCGTGGGAGAGGCTGGTGTGCATGGCTTTGATGAGGGTGGGGTTGTTGCTGGGGCCCATTTTGGTGGTGATTAGGTTGATGAGCATGGAGTCGGGGTCGTGGAGGAGAGAGAGGGCTTCGAAGCCGGGGATGCCGGAGAAGAAGTCTTCGCGGACGAGTTGTTTGTGGTCGAGGTCTTTGTTGGATTTGACCCAGGTGGTGAGGGAGGAGGGGAGGATGATCTTTTGGCCGTGGGGGATGAGGATGGTGATGGGGCCGCCGTGTTTGGCGAGGCCATCAATGATGAGTTGTTTGGCATTTTCGCGGACTTCGCGGTATGCTTTGCGGCGGAAGAAGTCGTTGGGGTATTGGTTAACGATGGGAAAGGCGGGCGGTTGTCGTGGGCGGAAAAGAAGATAATACACGCTTGCTAAAATGGCCACAGCTGTCCATGTGCGGACGCTCAACAAGAATTCTGTCAACATTTTCGTATAGAAGCTGCAGATACAACTTGAACAAAATCCAGTCAAATGAAAGATATCAATGATCATTCATACTGAAGGTGTTTTAGAAATTCTTATGGAAACTAAATAGCAGGTTTGATTGTGAAAAGGGGATAAGATTTGAGTGGGGCTTGGAAATGGTTCAGTATGAATCATCGCGACAAAACAAGTCAAATCAATTGAACGGCCCCAGGTGTCCACTATTTTAAACTTCTAGATTTTGGGTAGTTTACTATCGCTGCTTGTTACATGTTTCTGTGCGGAGTCATTGTTAGTTGCTGGTATATCTAGGATCTTGGGGTTCCTTCGAAAGCATTTGCAGGCAGTGATGCTCCTCCCATTTTTGCCACTTGTGGGTGTCTTATCCTCAGAGCGGAAAGGTACCTAAGCAAGAACAGTTACAGTTCAAAACATCCTGGAAGTTTGACACTAAAGATTTGAGTTACATTTCCCTAGGATATGTACCTAGAATAACACAATGTCTAAAGTACTTATCCGCATTGGATCGGGCATATACATACCCACGGTAACATACTAAGAAGGTCTGGTATCTCCAACATTCATCGCCACCTCACGAAGCACAGAACTTTCAACTCAGAGCAGCAACTTTCATCATGAATTGTAACGGTAGTAACTCTGGTACTATTCTGGTACTATGCTGCATGGCTAAATCGTACGATGGGCTGCGTGTGCGGGGAATCCGAGATTGTCAGATTTTGTCACCCCATGAGCCATGCATGGCTCGGAGGGGGACTACTTAACCCCCTGACTAGCCGAATCTATGGCGTCACTCGATCGGATCGTGCTCGAACCACCTAATATCCAGCACACCCAATATACAGTGGCGATACGCGACGGTTCTGAGCATTTGATGTGTATCGCCTCGCTTTGGGCATGAGGTTTTCGTTGAAACCGACATTCGTAAACGCGGCAAAGACTGTCTCAATGAGCGGTTCGAAGCAGCTGGCTGTTAAGGCCTTCCCTGCAGTGGGAACGGCAACCATCGCGGGAAAATCACAGCCGATTTACACCTCAGTCTCTCGGACCAGAGGTCTGACGTACCTGACATCACGGCCACCCTCATGGAGAGTATCCCTTAACCCCTACTGTCGTCACTTACCCGCAACCCAACACTCACCCTTCACCACCTCATCTCGCCGCTCCACCGAAGGCAGCGGCGAGCCACACGCGCCCAAATGGCGCCCTCCCACCGATGAGGGCCTCAAGCAGCGGCCCGTCCTTGTCATCGGAGCAGGCAACATCGGCCGGCGGGTGGCCCTCGTCTGGGCGTCCAACGAACGCCCCGTCACCATCTACGACATCTCCCCCACCGCGCTCAAGTCCGCCACCGAATACATCACCGACAACCTGGCCGCCTACTGCACCGCGCGCGGCACCCACCCGGGCCACGTGCGCACCACCTCGGACCTGCGCACGGCGACCACCACGTCGGGCTTCCCCGCGCGCGACTCGGCGGGGGCCATCACGGCCGAGGAGCACACCAAGGCGCCCTGGCTGGCCATCGAGTGCCTGCCCGAGTCGCTCCCGCTCAAGACGTCGGTGCTGGCGCTGCTGGAGCGCTCGCTGCCGTCCGACTGCGTGCTGGCCTCAAACAGCAGCAGCCTGACCACGGCCGAGATGGCCGCCGAGGGGCCCCTGGACTACCCGCACCGCCTGCTCAACACCCACTACTTCATCCCGCCGCGCAACCGCATGGTGGAGCTGATGTCGTCCGGGGCGACCGCGGGGCAGATTTTCCCGTTTCTGGCGAGCCAGATGCGCCGCGTGGGGTTTGCGCCGGTGATTGTGCCGAGGGATATTCAGTCCCGCGGGTTTGTGTTTAATCGGATTTGGGCGGCTTGTAAGCGCGAGACGCTGGCGGTGCTGGCGGAGGGGGTGGCTGAGCCGGCGGATGTGGATGCCTTGTTTAGGGACTTTTTCCATGCGGAGAAGGGACCGTGTGAGAGGATGGATGAGGTTGGGCTGGATACTGTGGCACGGGTGGAGCAGCATAATTTGGAGAGGAAGCCTGAGCTGGCGAGCGAGGGGCCGTTGAAATGGTTGAGGGAGAATTATGTCAGAGTGGGGAAGCTGGGAGAGAAGAGTGGTGATGGTTTGTTCAAGGGTGAGGAGAGGGATCGGCTGAGGGAGAGGCATTATTTGGAGAGGTACAAGGTTGTTGAGGAGACGTCCGGGGCTTAGATTGTCCGTCTTACCTCCCGGTGGGGATTGGGGTTGGTGTTGAATGAAGGGCGTTAGTCCAGGTAGTTTGTTAACTCTATGTCATGAATACTAAAGGGCGTCAAATGCAAGAAATATCTCGGCAAAATGGGTCACTTTTCATGACGCGTGCCTTTCTGTGGCACCAAGTGATGTGAACCAACAAAACCTGCAGGTCCGCTAACTGGTGCAGTGTTACCTGGGTTATCAGGCATCTTATTCACAAGCACATCTTCACGGAGATCCTCCCGGAGATGTCAATCAAAGGCGCACCGGATGAAAGTGGAAGTCCAGGCAGGAATTAGTCACGGTGACGATAAGGCACGGTGTGAAACCGCCATTATTAGGGGTACAACCGTACAAACCAGCTGGGTAGATAACGGCTCACGCTCCAACACTTCTTTACAGTTTTACTCAAGATTGTGGGTTATTTTTGCTTTACCTGCCTCTTGCTGCTTCCGATACCCGACTCAATTCCGTAGAGTTCTTCATCAGAGTTCTTTCCAAGCGCTCCAAACACCACAACTCAAACAAGTCCACCGCCATCGCCATCATGGCTTCCTCATTCCCTACCCCCAAGTTCATCACGGGTGGTTGTCTCTGCAACAGCCTGCGCTATCGCGTGGACTTCCCCGACAACCACGATTTCAGTGCTTCGGTCAGTGCTCGACTCCGCCTCGCCCACCCTCTTCCATAAGACTGCCAAACCACTGAATACCTGCTAACTAACACACCTTGGCACCCTATGTGCAGTCCAGCCACTGCCAGTGCACCCAATGCCGCAGGCAGGGCGGTGGCCTCTTCTTCAGTTGCCACGCAATCGTTCCGGCTAGCGTCCACTTCAAGTTCACCTCCTCGACTGACAACCTCAAGATTTACCGCTCCAGCTCCAGGGGCGAGCGTGTCATCTGCTCCAAATGCGGCTCGTGGATTTACTGGAGACCGACCGGCGAGGATGCAGGTGACTACCTTTCCTTTACCATCGGCACTGTCGACCCGCTGTATCTGTTTGGCGAGGGTGCCGACGGCGTCGAGGTGCCCAAGGGCGGATTCGGGTACGCCCTGACGAATGGCGGGGGCGGCAGCTGGTTCTCGGAGAACGAGATCAAGGGCATCACCGACTGCATGGCGATTCTGGCGAATAAGAAGCAGTGAGCGGGAAGGGAGGGCGCCAGCTCCGGAGGGGAATTCCGGGAATGGCTGTGTGACAGCTATAATCATCGATGGCGGTGGTTAATTTAGCGGTTACAATGGATGGGCTGTGCCCTCAGCCGATGCGTTCTCTTCAACACCAAGCTCCGGCTATTAGGTAGCCAACCAGTCTGGATTGTCCCCCATGACAGTCTTGCCTCCCGTGAATCACTATTCGTCATTCCTTTAGTGATACGGACTAGAAGGTTGCACAACATGACCCGGGGGACCCTGTGACCCCTGAGAGACCGGTCTCCCCGCTTGGGCGGGCTCTGATAAACGGACATAGTTCTCGGGGAGATTGCTCTCCTCACAATGCTTAGCTGCATTGTACTTCTTAAATGCCGTCTGCACCAGCAGGCCGACCTCTTTCCGGTCTCGGCCAATGACGCCGACGGCCAGTAGCGCCTCGGTTTGTTCGATCCTAACTTGTCATTATAGTCTCCCGGACCCAGGGAAGAAGAGAGGAAGGGGAGAACAGAGTCATGGGCAAACTCACCAATCCTGAACCCGCTTGAACTCGGCACGATCATGATACAAGCGGTCCGGTAGGCCCTGGCCCTTGATCAAGGCCAGTAAACCCGCAACAACAGTGTTGAGAGCGCCGAGCAACGTGATAGCAAGCACGTAACTCCCTGCACTCGGGCCCCTAAACATACACCACCACACAACCAACCGGTCAACAACACTGCAACCACAGTACCACACCCACCCCAAAACGCACCCAACAACAAAAACAGCATACAAAGGAGTGAGAGGAAGGAAGGAAGGAAGGAAGGAAGGAAGGAAGGAAGGGGCGCTCACAACGCCGTCAGCGACGCGCCAATCACTATCTGCGAGACGTGGCCCGCGTTGATCACAAACGACAGCAGATGGAACAGCACGCCTTGCGCCGCACCTCGGCCCGCGCCGCCGCGTAGATGCTGCCCGGCCGGCACCCCTTCTCTAGTGCTGCTGCTGGTGCTGCCGGTGCTGCCGGTATTGCTGGGGTTTCAATGTGCTGCTGCCCGGCTTCTAGCGACGCTGCGTCTGTTGTTGGCGGTGCTGGTCTGTTGTTACTGTTTCTGTTTCTGTTGTTGCTGTTGCTGCCGCTGCTGCTGTCCCTGTTGCTGTTGCTGTTGCTGTTGATCCCTACCGCCCGCTGGAAGATGGCCAGGTTCTCGTCGTTGGGCCGCCGCATGTGCAGGCCTGCTGGCGAGCCCCATATCGCTAGCTCTATGTCGGTTTTGGGGAGGCCGGTGTTTTGTAGGCCGAGCCCGATGGGTGTTTGGTGATCGATGCTGCTGCTGCCGATGACGGTGGATCCGCCGCCTGCACTCCCGGGCGGCTCCGTGTCGGGCGCCGGAGAGGACAGCCCGACGGCGGGGGCGTGGAAGTTGGTTGGGGATGCTGGGCTAAAAGTGGTGGGTTGTGGTGCTGACATTGTTGTTGTTGGATGGGGGAGGGCTGGTGGTATAATTTTGAGGTGTAGAAAGGCTTCCGTCGGTATCATCAGGTCGAGTTGGTGAGCTCCGTGCCTCTGACATCATAGTGGGATCCCACTCCCCCTCCGGTTCTCTGTCGGTGACAAGGAGATACTACCTAATGGAATGGTGGGGATGGTACTTCACTGATGTTATACATTGCTCAACGAATTGCGGCGAGTCTAGATTCCAACCGGTACTTTCGTGATGGAAAGTCCGTGAGCAAGGTCTAACCTTGACGCCCACCAGCGAAGAGAACAAACAAAACTGTGTAAATGATCAACGACTTTAGGGTTACGGATTGCCTACCGGAATCTGAGCGGCACCGAGGGATGTGTGGTGTAGTGGTGACTGCTTATGAGGACATTGCGAGTTATACAAGTCTTGAATGTTTGTTGCAGGATCCATTATCTAACATGAGGAGACCAGGTTCCTTCACCGTACCATGATTTCTCAGGATTGGTTGTTTCGGTTCTCTTAGTCGTCCCAGCTTCGGTGCTCCATTCATCAGTTTCACCATATGTGCTATCAAAAAAGAAAAGACCCCAGGCTCTGGAGCCAATATTTTCCCGGTTGTTTCTAAAAGCCAAAGCTCGATACTTCCTTTTCCTTAAGAGACCAAATGCTCAGGACACCTGATAAAGATAGAACAGAGTAGTGGCCGTGCAAATATGGGCTTACCGTATCACACCGTCAAGGCCAGAAATATACATAACGACTCAACATCACCACCGCCCCCACCCTTACCATCCCCCCACCTCACACCTTCATCCCATTCTCCTCCACCTTCCGCCCCCTCTCATACATACACAATACTACTAAACGCCTCAAGAGTCCCCCTCATCCACCAACCTTGCCCCATCCTCCGTATCCGGCGGCAGGCGCGTGTACAAGCCCCTCCCCGACCTCGGCGCACAGCGCCGCCAGCGGATCAATCATCCTCGTCATCCTCTTTCCCACCAACCCCCCGCCCCGCCCCCCATCCTGGCTGCTGGCCCCCTCCTTTTGGCTCCCCCCGCCCTTCGTCCCCTTCCCGGCACCCGCAATCTTCCGCACAAAGTTGATCTGCCCAGTCGGGTGGGCGTCGGCGCGTGGGAACAGCCCCTCGGTCGTGGTGCCCGCGAAGATTGACCTGGTCCCGCCGACTTGGTAGGGTTGGTGGGGGTGATGCTGCTGTTCAACAGGGAAGACGCCCAGCTTTGGGAGACTGTTTCCATGATCAGGCCACGAGCAAACCGACTAAATTCGCTTTCAGTTGACATGCCATTGAGAGGTCCGCCTGTTTTTGTTGGGTGGGTTTGCCAGCCCAGCTGCCCTTCTCCTGCCCCTTCTCCCCCTTGTTACCACCCCTTCCCTGGTGGTGGTGGTGTTGGTGGGGGTGGTGCTGCTGCTGCTGCTGCTCGATCTTCTGGCGTTTGCTGGTGGCGTGCCGCTCCTTTTTGGCCACGCAGGTGCCGCAGTACCAGACCTTGCCCCGGTCCTGCACGATCTCGTCGGCGATCCAGGGGTCGTGGCACAGTTGGTGCCAGCACTCGTCGCAGCCGTCGCAGAAGACGATCTGGTTGGTGGCTGGGCTGTGCATGCGGCTGCACTTGAGGCAGAGCGCCTGCTCGGCGGTGCGCTTGCCGTAGTGGTGGGCCGGTGCGCGGGGCCGCCGGCTCGCGGCGTCCATGGCGGCCGGGTCGTAGGCGTCGGGTTTAAGGACCTGCCGGCCGGACTTGGTCATGGTGAGGGGCGTTGGGGTGAGTGGGGTGGTCGACTCGGGTGGAGGCGCGACGGAGGGTTCTAGGGAGGAGAGGCTGGAGGTGCTGCTTGCATCGTTGTCTCCGTCCTCGTCGGGTTGGGGTTTCGTGCGTTTGCGCTTAACCTGCGGACCCCGGGGGCCGGTCACAGGCTTTGTTTTCTTGATCTTGCTCTCCGAAGAGAGGACTTTGGCGACGACGGTCTTGATGGGAGACGGCTTTGATGCGTTCGTTAGGCCAGCCGTGACCTTTCTGATCGCGCTCATGCCCGCGCTACTATTTATGGGCTTTGGGGCTACCGGTCTAGGGGCGGGAAGTGTGGCGGGTGGTGATGGGCGGACGGGGGACGCGGCGGGCATTTGCATAGTCATCTGAGTTGAGATGTTCATCCCCATGACCAAGCGTCTTTTGGCATCCTCGTAGGCGGCAGGAGGGATGCTGGTCGTGAGAGCTGCGGAGTGGGAGATGCGTGACAAGGCGGTGCTGAGGCTACTGGGCTCGCCTTTCATCCTCTTTAAGATCATCTGTGTGGCCGCGGTGAATTGCGGGTTGTAGAGAGGCCGGGTTGTCGGAAAGGGGGCTGTGGGCGTAGGACTGGGTCTAGGTGCGTTGGGTCCTGATCCTATTCCGGGACTGGGAGCTGGAACTGTTGTTGGTGCTGAGCTAGGTTTGGGTAGATTGGGTCCTGGTTCTGATCCGGCACTGGGAGTTGCTCCAGGACTGGGAGCCGGCGCATTGGCCGGCGCCGGCGCCGGGACCGGGTTAGTGGGCGACCCTCCCGTGGAGTTGCCGCCCGCATCTTCCAAGATTCCATCATCTGCCATCGGACATAAAGAGCGATAATAACAAAATAAAATAATCCAAATATCTGTAACAAATGGCAGTGGTGGCTCTTCTCGTGCCCCGGATAAGACAGGCTTGATTGGGTATTATGAAGTAAAACGTTGTTGAGTTCGGCGTCGGGTTTTACCTCTATCGTCAAATTTGTCAAGGGTCCTCGATTTGCTTGCTGTCGCTGAGCAAATTTGGTGTTTTTATCCAAAATAACACGTCATCACGTGAGTTTCACGTGCAAAACCCTAACCCTTTTTAAGCACCACTTCCCCTATCGTGGTCCTCCAGGGGCACCCAGAAGGTTTCTACGTGTGTGTCTCAACTGTGACATTCAGGATAAGCCTGTGGTGCTGTTACTGCTACCTAACAACACCCTTCTGCTTCAGAACTTGCACCTGAGCCTCGCCCATCCCCAAATGTTCCCGTAGAATCTCATCCGTGTGTTGTCCCAAGGTAGGTGGGGGACTGCGAATCCCGGGCTTGCTCTCCGAGTATTTGATGGGGGTGTTGAGCAGCTTGATAGGCCCGCATTCATCATGATCAACCTCAATTACCATGTTCCTCGCTTTGGTCTGCGCGTGCGCCAACGCCCCCTGCACATCATTGACAGCAGCATAGGGCATACCCTTGCCCTCGAAGGTGTCGAGCCATTCCTGTGTCGTCTTAGTCACGGTAATGGCTTCAATTTCTGCCTCAAGCTCATCGCGGTGAGCCACTCTAGAAGCGTTGACTTGGAATTTGGCGTGATCCTTCCACTCGGGCCGGCTTAGCCCATCACATAGAATACCGAATAGCTTGTCGTTCCCCCCACCAAACAGGACGTCACCGTCCTTGGTTTTGAAAGACCTATACGGAACGATAGAGGCTGCGCCTGTCAATACGAGCACCGGAAACAGAGGCGTAGGAGGTACATACGATGTGCCGTCCCCCATCGGCCGGAATCCTTTTCCCCGCTAATTAGGCAGCTGCTGGCGATATTGGACAGCGTCACCGTCTGGCAATCGCTCAACGCGGCGTCAATATGCTGGCCTTTACCGGTCCTCGCACTTGCAAGCAGCGCAGCCATGATGCTGTTGCTGGTGTATAACCCCGTGGTCAGATCGGTAACTGCAACACCAACCTTGACCGGCGGCCCGTCTCGGCTGCCGGTGATGTGCATTAGGCCAAACTCGGCCTCGACCATCACATCATAGCCGGGGCGTTGTGAGTACGGCCCCGTCTGGCCATAGCCGGTGATGGACGCGTAAATAAGCGCCGGGTTGATCTTGTGGATGGTTTCGTAGTCCAGACCGTACTTCTTGAGGGAACCGGGAATGTAGTTCTCAACCAAGATGTCGCACTTCGCGGCCAGCTTGTGGAGGATCTCGATGCCGGCAGGATCCTGAAAAGACAGGGCCAGCGACTTCTTGTTGCGGTTCACCTGGACAATTTAGCAACGGTTTGAGCCTGTCTCCTCGGCTTGTTACTCACTGCAAGAAAGTAAGCAGACTCACCGGGGCCCTCGTGTAAAGAGCCGGCCTTGTAGGTAGCATACGGTGGCCCCCATGCTCGAGTATCGTCGCCCCTCACTGGATGCTCTATCTTGATGACCTCGGCGCTCGAGGGGTATCAACAACTAAAGCCATCTCTGTCAAATACCGGCACAGATGCTTACCCGAGGTCTCCCAGGATCTGAGTGCAGTATGGCTAAAGAGTTGGTCAGCCGTGGAATGAGGCTTGCGTTGTACGTGTAGTGTTGTCTTACTCCGGCAAGCCACTCTTGTCATATCCAACACCCGATACCCCTTCAAGTGAAAGAGACCCTGGTGCCGAGGCCGCAGCGGAGACGGAGAAGCGCCGACGCATCCGGCACATCTCGGACCGGGATCCGCCCAGAGCGATACGGGCCGAAACACACCGAGACGAACACTCAAAGTCCTGCTCACCCGGCTCATGGCGGGATTCATTGGGTATCGACTTGGTTCAGTAAAAGGAGAAAAGAAACTGAGTGAAAGGGAGAGAAACAAGAATCCGAGTGTTTCATGAAAAGTGGATGTGATGTGTCCATTGAAAGGAGGAGCGCACACAGGACCGAAGGTGGTGCCCGGGCTTTCCTCCGGTTTAGCGTAACTATCGAAACCGAGGAAACAGGGATCGCCGTTCACTGTTTCCACAGAACGGGCGGTGCCGGAAAAGGGGGGGGGGGGGGTGTGGGTCTTGGGTATTCAAGCCATCGTTATAATAGGTATCTACTCGAACATGGCCATTCGGGGGCTCGATCTAAGAATATAGAGTAAAGTTTGGGCATGTTTTGAAGAAGTACCCTCTCGGGTTAGGTTCTGACAAGGATCGGTACGTGTAAGTTACCGCTTCAAGCCAGCCGCTTGAAAATACCGCTCGGGCCACCCAGCCTGGGGAACTGGGGTCTTCGAGATCTCGCCTTCCAGCGCCCTCAGCCTCGCCAAAATATTCCATAACCGCGTCCGACTTTTCGACTCACATCCCCATCGCAAACCACTCCAACCCACCACAACCACACCAACACCACCAATCGTCCGCCCATCAAAATGGACTACCAAAACCGCGCCGGCTCCAAATTCGGTGGCGGCGGCGTGGCCTCGCACAGCGCCACCAACGCCGACCGCCGCGAACGCCTGCGCAAGCTCGCGCTCGAGCAAATCGACCTCGACAAGGACCCCTACATCTTCAAGAACCACCTGGGCTCCTTCGAATGCCGCCTCTGCCTGACCGTGCACCAGAACGACGGCTCCTACCTCGCGCACACCCAGGGCAAGAAGCACCAGACCAACCTGGCGCGGCGCGCGGCGCGCGAGCAAAAGGAAGGCAAGGGCGAGGTCGACCCGCACACGGGCCTGCCCGTCGGCGTGGTCGGCGCCGGGTTCGCGGCGCTGGGACTCGGCGGCGCCGGCGCCGGCGGCCCGCGCAAGAACGTGGTCAAGATCGGCCGGCCCGGGTACAAGATCACCAAGGTGCGCGACCCCATCACGCGCCAGCAGGGCCTGCTGTTCCAGTTGCAGTACCCGGATATTGGCACGGGCGTCGCGCCCAAGTGGCAGGTCATGAGCGCCTTCTCGCAGCGCGTTGAGGACCCGGACCGCAATTTTCAGTACCTCCTCGTCGCTGCGGAGCCGTATGAGACGTGTGGCTTCAAGATCCCCGCGCGTGAGCTGGATAAGCGGGAAGATCGCCAGTTCGAGTACTGGGATCCGGATTCCAAGGAGTATTGGGTGCAGATCATGTTTATGACGGAGCGTGAGGAGCGGTTCAATGCCGCGCCGGGGCTGACGGGAAGGCGGTGATGGGCAGGTGGTCGGACAAACTTATTGTTGATTTCTGAGTGGAGTGGGTTTGTACAATATGGGGTAGGAAAGTAAATCGGTCGACGAGATGGGAGGCAGGCAGGGAACAGCAGCAGGACGGCAAAATACCCTCGACATTCGACTCTGCGGATCATGGCCGTAACGCCGGACTAGCTCAACAACACAAACCTAGGGCCAAGATCGTGGGTTTAGGGCGGATTTTCTCCTGGTCTAATATCGCGTCACGGGATTGCATAATACGAGGGACCCGGCCCACGGCAGCGAGACATCGACATCAACTCAGGAGTGGAACTGGGAGCTGTAAGGCTACAACACAACTTGGCAACCCATTGCAGAGCTAACAGTCGGACAGCGGAACCATACTTCGGGGCCGCAGACACGTTTGCCGGCATTGAAACGCCCAAGATTCAAGATATCACGAGGCGATACTCTCGAGATGGTGGCTTATGAAATGTGGCTCTTGAGTTTTGACTCTGCCAGTCTGGTTGTGTTCAGCCGGTGATTCGGAATATTGGATAGGTAAAATATGGATTCGTATAGAATGATCATGACCGCGCAAATTCTTCACACAAAGAACAATGAACAACGAACGTTGCCTCCCGAAACACTCTACATTGCCATTTCTCTATCTCCGCTAGACCCTGACTATACCTCGACTATGCCATGCTCATATCCCCCATCCCTCACCACCACAAACTTTCCGAAAAAACCGAAGTAGATGGAAAATCCGGCCGAGCTACCACCGCTGACAACGACTACCGTGCGTGACACCGCTCAGTCTATCCATGAAACCAAAACCCGGCTTCACAGCCAAACCATTTTTCACCCCCCTAACTCGGCAGAGCAATCACCGGAAGTTGTTATCGAACCGCTTGAACGTGTACCCGATAAACGGCAGGCTCATTTCGGGGCTCTCCTCCTGTTGGCCCGCGGGGACGCCGCTGGCGGCGCTGCGGGCCTGGGCGGCCTTGAGCATGGTCGCGTTGTCCGTCTGGTCGATTTCGTCCGTCGGGAAGTAAGTCGTGTCGATGTTGGACGTCAGGCGCGGCTCGAACGGCGCACGGATGCGCCGCAGGCTGTCGAACTCGACGCCCCGGAAGAAGGAGTGGCTCTTGATCTCGTGCGCGCCGCCGCGGCCGAGCCGGTTCTCCGAGTTGCAGATCAGGCTGGGTTGGGGGTCAGTAAAGGGGTTAGGGAGGGGAGGGAAAAGCTGGTGTCGCTTACCTCCGGATCAGGTTCTCCGCTTCCACGCCGAGCTGGATGTCGTCGGGGAAGTAGAGTGATTGCCTCCAGTTGACAATCTTGCGGTAGGTGTCGTGGCTGTCTTCGGCGCAGAATGGCGGCCAGCCGACCAGGCATTCAAACATGATGGTGCCGAGCGACCACCAATCGCAATCGAACGAGTACCCGTGCCCAGTAAAGATCTCTGGCGCGATGTAGTCGGGCGTGCCGACGGTGGAGTACGCCATCAGTCGCCTCGATCGCCTCCAGTCGTTGATCTGGGACCGGTTGCTGACCGTCAGGTTGATCTGGTCGATGGCGATCGAGTTGCGGTTATCACGCGGCTTGTTCGACTTGCCCTGGAGGAGCTGTTGGTAGTAGTTGTTGTCATGGAGTTTGTGGAAGCCGGTCGAAAGGCCAAAATCCGTCAGCTTGACGTGACCACCCCGGTCGAGAAGAATGTTATCTGGCTTGATATCTCTGCGGCTCGTCAGTTTCGGGCCTGCCTTTCCCCCTGTCAACCTGTGCGCACCTGTGAATGAAGCCCAACTTGTGGACGGCATCGATGGCCAAAACGATCTCGGCGATATAAAACCGCGTGATGTCCTCGGAAAAGATTTCGTATTTGATCAACATGGTCATCAGATCTCCGCCGGGCAAGAATTCCATCAGCATGTACAAGAAATTGGTGTCCTGAAAGGTGGTGAAAAGCTTAACCACCCAGGGGCTGTCGGACTCGGCAAGAATATCACGCTCTGCACGAACGTGGGCGAGCTGGTCCTTCTTGAACATCTCCGTCTTGATCAACGACTTCATGGCGTACACCTTGCCATCGGCCTTCTTCTGCACCAGCTTGACTTCGCCGAAGGCGCCCTTGCCGATGATTTTGATGGTGTTGTAGTTCTCGGGCTTGTCCTTGGTTCGCAAAAAGCGCAAATAGGAGCCTTCCCTACGGCCTCCTGTAGCCCAGACCGATTCCCGGCGGCGAGGGTCGGTAGTTTCGGCCAGCTTCTGCTCCATCTCGCTTTGCCTGTACCATCAATTGTCAATACAAACGTATCCAGCGAACAAGTGACAGCAAAACCCACCTCTGATTGCGCTCGCGAGCCCTCTTGACACTGTCCTTAAAGAAATCCGAGGCGAGCTGCGAGCACTTCTTTTGGTTGTTGTTGGCGTTCGGCCCGTACTTGTCCGGGTTCCGCTCGGGAGCGGGAGCAAAATAATCGAGTTGGGGGGTCTGAGTTGGCATCGGCGGCGCATTTGCGTAACTTCCGTAACCGGGTTGCTGGCCTCGCGAGTCGGCTGTCCGGGGCCGTTGACCAGAGGACGGGCCACGAGAGGCATAAGGGGATCCCCGACCAGCACCCCCTAGGTTCTGGTGGGAGAACTGGTGGGCGAGCCCCGTGTTGGGGTCATTGTTGGCGCCGGGTGTCGTCGACCGAGCCTGGCCATAGCCCTGACCAGCAGAGCTGTAATCGGCAGCCTGAGCACCGAGCTGGGATGAGTACTGGGCGCCGTACTGGTTGTTGCTGCCGGGCTGTTGGAAGTATCCGGCGGATGCTTGGCCTCCTTGCTGGTAGGGCTGAGGCTGCTGGGCGCCGCTCTGGGGTGCAGGCTGGCCTCCCTGGAAGACGGGCTGAGGGAAGGTGGAGGGCGTAGTGGGATATGTGCGGTCGGTGGCGGCCAGTCGCTCGTTGTTACTCCCAAAGTTGAGGTACAGACGGTTGCCCTGGTTGTCCATCTTGCCGGCGTGCTGCGGGTTATGACCGTAGCGGACAATTGCTATTTGCTGCTAATCTGTGCTTTGCAAGCTTCGGGCTCAGTCGGACTGCAGGTGACAACGGGCGAGGTCGAGCCGGTGTGGTGCAGAAAGGGGGACGACTGGAGTGACCCTTGCGTTTTAGGACCAGGGTCTAGCGAGATCGAGGGCCTGGTCTGGTCGCGTTCTGGCTGTCAACCCTTCGCTTCGGATCACCGCCCCGCCTGTTTGGGCTTGCTCGGGAGGTGGGGCAGGGGCAAGGGTAGGGGCAGCAACTGCAACACACGAGACCGACTGCTCAAACGATTGAGCCAGTGATGAAGAATCTCGTTTCCTCGTTCTGCAGCAAAATGGTGGTGAGATTCACGTTTGTGTGCCCGAGTATCGGGTACGATGAAACAAGAGCCCGAATAGAGGTAGTACTTGTTTGTGCTTTTGTCGGTGCAGCCCAGTGCAGCCCAGTTCAGACCAGTGCAGACTCGCTGAGGTGTCACCACAACAGGACATCCAATGCAACGAATCTCAGGATGGCAGTAAGTGGAGAAAAAGAAAGAGGGGTAGGGTAGCCGCTAGCAGAGTTGCCCAGTCGATGCCCTGCTTAGCCGACACACTTCAAACCCGGGTTGGGATAAGAGCTGTTTAGATTCTTTACATGCAACTGCATTGTGTCTGGCGGGAAACCCCTAAAAGGCGGGGTTGCAATGCTCTATTCAATGGGTGTTGACCGCACTTTCCAAAACTTATGTTAAGCCAAGTTCCTTCCCACTTTCCTCTCCTTGGATCTCCGGTCTAGCATTATGTGAACTCAGGAGTTATTAAGGATATCAAGAACCCATTCAGTTCAAGAAAACGAAGTGCATTCTAGTCTATTACTAGTAAATAAGTAGGTAGAGAACACAACCTGGGCTGGGCCAGAATACAGACACTGCCATTGCCTGTTTTTGCACGTGCTACTTCGTACGACACACAAAAAGTGGGCGGTCCGTGCATGGCAAATCGCTTATCGCGATAACATCGTCTGGAAATTTGAGCCGTTCACGACTCCAACGCCGATGGATTTCAAAAAACGATAGGATGATCATAAATCGACATTGAAGATATCAACTGCCTTTGTTGTCTTGAAAAGTGGCGAAGCCTATCGACCTTCCTCCCAGACCGAAAAGCCTCTCCAGAGGTCGGCGCAAGCCTAATGTGCTTGTAGTACCGTTGAAACTCCCTCAAAGGAAACTCAGAAACAAACTCAGAGCCACCATGGCCGATCCGACGCCCACACCACCCCCGCCGCCGGCTGCCGATGCTGTATGATTCCCTGGGATTTATTCTCTATTTTGTGTCCTTTTTCTAACAAATCCTCCCATGTAGGCGCCGAAGGCCCCCCCTCGAAACCAGGCCCTACGCATGTTAGGTCTGCCTGCCCTCCCTCGAAAACTACCGTCTCGGAACTGGATGATATTTTGGACCATATCGGGCGCAATAACGGCAGGGATAATCTACGACAAGCGCGAGAAGAAAAGAGCCGTCGCAAAATGGTCGCATGCAGTCGAGCATCTGGCCAGGGAACCGCTACCGGACAACAGCCTAGGCCTGGCGCAACCGCGCAAGCTGACCATCTACCTCTCAAGTCCGCCGGGCGACGGCTTGCGTGTTGCCCAGGACCATTACACCGAGTATGTGAAGCCAATTCTGGCTGCTAGTGGGTTGGACTGGGAATTTGTGCAGGGCCGGCGGGAGGGAGATGTGCGCGCATACGTAGCTGAGCGTGTGCGTCGGCTTCGCCGTGGCTGGGAAAACAATGACGAACTGGATATGTCAAAAGAGCCCACTAAGGAGGAGATTGTTGAGGCATTCCGCAAGTCGCGTGGCATCAAGGACTACGACGGCGTACGGGGCGATGTTGTCATTGGCAGGCATACTTGGAAGGAGTACCTCAGGGGTCTACACGAGGGTTGGCTAGGCTCCCTTGCGCCACCGCCCGAGCCGCTCCCAGCAGTTCCCACACCGGAATCAACCACGGAGGATAAGCCCGCTGAAGACCAGGCGACCGAAGGCAAACCCGCCGAAGAGAAGAAGCCTGCGGAAGAGGCAAAGAAGCCCAAGAGGCCGCCTCAACCAAAACCACACAACACCACAGCCGACTACTCTACTGCATTCCTCCCTCCTCGCGCCCCTAACGAGTTCGATCCCTCCGCACCCATCCGTGAGCCCCACCTCCTCGGCTTCCTCAACACCCCGACCCGCCTCTACCGCTTCTTCAACCGCCGCAAGCTGGCCGACGATATCGGTCGGGAAGTCGCCGCCGTCTGCCTATGCACGTACCGCGAATACAAGCAGCTCGCAGCCGACGCCGACGCCGCCAGCTCAACAGACTCCAGCGAGCAGTCACAATGCGAGCAACAAAAGGAATTAGCGTGGGAAGAGAAGGACTGGGTCAAGACAGTCTGGAAGGAGGACGACCCCAAGGATGCCGAGGCCACCGAGGTTGCCGAGAAGATCCACGCGAAACCCATCGTCATGGACGAGCGCATCGCCGAGCGCATGCGCCGCTTCCAGTTGCAGCCCGAGGAGGAGGAGCGGGTACGCAAGATTGTGGTGCCCGAGGAGGAGGTCGAGGGCTGGACCAAGGGGAAGCTGCGCCAGCTGTACCGGTGGGGTGTGAAGAAGGCTTTCGAGAAGAAGAAGGCCTCGCCATTGGACGGCGAGGATCTAGATTAAAGAGCGGGGGTCGGGTGCTGTTCCGTAAATGGTGTACTTGTATGACTGTTGGGTGTAAGTGTTGGAGTATCACGGTGCATAGCTGTGGCCACAGCGCCCATATTGTAGGACTAAATGATAGATCTCGCCGGGTGGGACAACGGTTGGACCAACCTGTGTTATCATAATGAACTAACCCCTCTTGTCATTTCATTTGCATTTGGCGGTAGTTGCGGTTGGTCTTGGTGAGACATAATGTTAGTGTAGAATCCTCTTCGCCCTTTTCTTATCATTCTACGCCTGATATTCCCCTGAGTTCTAGCTTACTCTAACGGTACATTAGTAGCTACGCTTCTCTAGGGTAGACTAGGAAAGTATTGATATACTTCTCGAGGATTATTTCTGCTAAGAGACTGTTTCTAGCCCCGTACACAACGGCTTCCGTGGTCCAAAGGTGGGAACGGGAGAAAGTTATGACCGCAATCTCACTAAATGCCTACTACCGTTGTACAAGAGCCTTACTCTATCTGCTAGCCTGCCGCTTCTATTCTTTCCTCGTTAGCCAAACGTTATACAAGCCACTCTCCTTACACTCGACATTTCTCTGAAGCATGACTGGATATCTCTGTACTCTTTCCCTGGGTATACTCCTTTCGTTCATTTGTTACTTACTACACCTCTTCCACGGCCAAGATGCAAAAGTGGACCAGGATGCAGAAAAACGGTAGCATTGTTAATAGAATCCTTCAGGCTTACGAAAAGTTGTGTCTTCCGACGTTACAAACTGGTTTAGGCCGTTGAGAGACCAAGTCCCTGTCATGAACTACCCACACAGAATCCAGCAGCGAACTGTCCGCTTCAATAACACCTCCTGCAGCTCCCGTCAGACCCAGACCCGTATACATCCATCTTGCCATCGTCCCAAGTCACGGCATTCGGCTTGGTATACATACTACCTCCCATATTCTCCCAGTCCGAAGTCCACTTGTCATCCTTCCACACCTTCCGGTAAAGAGCGTTGTCGTCACCCGTGATGTACACCTCCATCTTACCACCGTAGTACACCACATCCGGCGCCTTTCCACCCTTTATTTTTCCGCCCATATTCTCCCAGCCACCCCACCCCGTGCCTCGCTTGTACGTCTTGTGCCAGCACGCACCATCAGACCCTTTCACGAAGACATCCATCCGGCCATCCCACGCGCACGCCGCCGGCTCCCCATCAAGCGTACCACCCAGACTCTCCCACTGGCCCCAACCAGACTCATACTTCCTATGCCAGGCCTGCCCATCCTGGCCCTTACAGAACACGCTGGTATGGCCCTGGCCCCAGGTGACAGCCTTGGGCGGACCGTCGAGGTACCCACCCATGTTCTCCCAGCCGTACCAGCCCTTCTGGCCGTCATCATACCTCCGGTGCCAGCACTCGCCATCACTGGACGACACGTACACGCTCACATGGTCCTTGCCCCAGGAACAGGCCGACGGGTAGTGCTTCACGCTGCCGCCCATGCCCTGCCACGGGCCCCAGCCGCCGCTGCCGCTGCCGGAGTCGTAGGCGCGGTGCCAGGCCTGCCCGTCGGTGCCCTTGCAGAAGATGTGCATGTTCTCCTTCTTGCGGCTGCACGCCGCCGCGGGCGAGTCGAACGACCCGCCGATGTCCTGCCAGCCGCCCCATTTGCCGCCGTCGTAGGTCCGGTACTTGCACGTGCGGTCTTTGTGCACGTAGTAGACGTCCTGTCGGGACCCGCCCCAGGAGGCGGGCGTCGGGTTCCAGGTGGAACTGCCCTCGAGGTTCTCCCATTGGCCGGATGTGGCGCGGTCGGAGAGGGATGACTTGGTTAGGGGTACCACGGGGTGAGCTGGGGAGGTGTCGGGGGATCGTTTGACCGGCGGGTTGTTGAAGTACTCTTCTGAGAGGAGGTTGGACCGTTTCATCAGGAAGGTGCTGTGACCACGGGGTGCGTTCCAGTCAAGATGGTTGGCGCGAGGTTCGGGCCGGAACAGGTTGGCTCCATGCTGGGGCACAGAGACGACCAGGCCGCTGAATGCAACGAGGAGGAGAGATAAGAGGTGCATAGTTGCAGACATCGACTGTTGCCCAAGACAGTTGTCGGTACCCAGAAACGGGCATTAACCTGGGGGACCTGTGGCTCCTTAAGGCAAGCTGGGCTATCGCGATACTGGGGCGGCGGGTTCAGGAGAATCGGGTTGGTGAATGTGGTCGGCGCCACAAAGTGACCATACGCTGCAGTAATATATTGCTTCCTCCGGGTTTCTTCGCATCCGACGCGGCATCTTAGCTATCCCGACCTGTTGCAGCTTCAGCTCTACAAACGACACCATTCTGTAGGTCATTCGGGTCTGAAATGGGAAGCACATCGCATCAATACTCTGTGGTACTACCCACCACTTTTCTTTTTTTTGTCGTTGTTTCTTTTGAGCTGGAGCACGTCGGCCTGAGTCTAGATGGAGATGGGAAACGGTTCAGTACGACCCAAGGCCACGGAGGACTTGTGATGCGAAGCAGGAGACCACCCTGCTATACGACGTTTCCCGGATAGTGCTGCCTTCCTTGATATGGCTCCCATCCAATCTCATGGCGTCTACGTTCAATCAATCGAAGTGGAAAACGGCAACCAGCCCGAGGCGGCACTCCCCATATCGTGTGATGTGTACCCCAGCATTCTGGGTCCCGGAGTTGTGCCTATTCTCAATGAGTTGGAGGCCGTGTGAACGCCGATACATTGCAGGCTTGGCGAGAGTCGGCGGTAACACAACGCAGTTTGTTTTGTATGTACCAACGGTATGTTGAGGGAACTAGAATATATCCTCATATCCCAGAGATGTGCAAGTTCAGGGAGTGGAGTGAAGAAATGCCTTGAATGAAATATCGACACTCGTTAAGTCAAATTCTCAGAAAACCACATGGGCTTGGATGGATGTAACGAGATCTAGGAGGGTTCATACCTATCAGTTCCGAGCTTTTTTGTGCAGACACAGAACTTCTGTACGCATAACAGGACGCTTCTCCAAGCTCTCGTATCGTCACGGAAGCTCTAGGGCCTCAGTCATCCTCATCATCGTCGGATCCATAGTCCACCAGCAACCCCCCGGGCTTGGCGGTGCTTTTAGTGGTCACCTGTGCCGGCGGTACAGGCGTTGTGGTCGCCGGCGCCACGGGTTTCGACATCCCTTTTGGCGCATCCCCATCACCGCCAGCACTCAACTCCACCCCCATCTCCTCGCCACCTTTCCCATCAACCGCCTCCCTTTTCTCATCATCCTTCCCATCCCCATCCTTCCCCTCCCCAACCCCCTTCCCACTCCCACTCCCACCCCCACTAGACTCCCTCCTCCCCCCACCCACGCCAACCCCCTTCAACCTCTTCCTCCCATCCCCCCCCCCCCCCACCCTCCTCTTCTGAGAGCAAAGGGAGACCGAAATACCCATGCGTCTCTAATCTTTGAACGCATAGATGGTGGTTTTGATCACAGCCACATTGTCCAAGACGGCGCGGCCCCGAAAAGAAATTTCTACCCCGCAATGGATACCTTAGGTCTAATTCGAGCTATATAACGTCTCTGAATTCTGCCCGGATTTAGGGAAACATTCAAATAGGTAAGCGGCAGCCTCCCGATAGCGAGAACCTTCCCACGGGCCGGACAACTATCACTCCTCCCCAGCCTACTTGGGCCGGCGCGAGGAGAGCGCATCGTCTAGACTTTGAATGAAAATATACAGAAGTACAAAACTTT